AGTCATAAAATAAACTCCCAGGACAGAGTAAAACACTTTCCAATCCTATCATCTACAGATATGTTGAGAAAGTTTGGTATTTCTACATAATTAACATGAAATGTACACCTTGGCTTGCCACAGCTCCCTCCCAACCTCAGGTATCGTTGACAGCACTCTATGCTAATTATTTCACAATGGCATGTACGAATTAGTGCAGTGTTTATGGAAAACATCTTGCAAGGTAATGGTCCAGTGGCCAATGAAGAAGATGGAGCCCATGATGTATTTACACTGGAGTGCGCTGAAGAACAAGTATAAAGTGAATTTGATATCTATAAAGCATGCACTGGCAACAAGACTATTATGCACACGAGCTAGAAGCGACAGAGATGGTGGTCTATTTGGGGGAGGAATGAAAAGGCCTAATGATTTCAGGAAATCCATTTTGAAATGGAAAATAAGAGGCCAGAGTAGATGTTAACATTCTTCAACATGGCTCTGAGAATGACAAAAAGCAGACAGAAGAGCAGATGCTGGTCGCTTCAGAAAAAGATGGTGGCTTCCCTTTGTTCTTTTACCTGGAAGCCTGATGATTTCCTGGCCGAGGAGAGATCAGGTCTAAAACAAAATTCTTAATTAAACTGGACCTGAGAAGTTCAGTTGGACCTCCCTTTCAAGTAGATGAATAGAATTACAAAAGGTCTCATGTGGGGATCAGTCACAGAGAACCAAGACTCCCTAGAGACAAGAAGGCCTGTGTTAATCTCTCTGTGGTTTGAAAAGCAAGAAGGAAGAAAACAGATTAAGCGTCCTTGTGGCGATCATGTGATACCTTCCTGATCCCAGCCAGTGGCAGTATTTCCATGGAAACCTCTCTTCTCACGGTCTTCACCCACACACTGCTCCTTCCACGTGACAAGGCTCCTTGGAGTCTGGAGACAACTGCTAAGGAAGACAAACTTGAAAGGAAGGAGCCGAGCAAATCGGGCCCACATGCCAAAGGCCCCAGGGAACTGATGCCCCTTCCTGCCGCCCTGGAGTTGAGGACCCACAGGGAGGTTGATGTCGGGATGCTCGCTCTCCCTGCCTGGGACCTTAATTTCAGGGAGGCACCTAGTTTTTAATAGTAAATCAACATAAGAAAGGGAGATATAGGGGACCAACCTTGATTTGACTCCCCTCAATCGTTTACTCTTCAGCTCAAAAAGGAATCATTAGCCAAAATGTCCTGGCTTTCAAGGCCATCTGTGGTAAAACAGCTACAGTCGTTGAAACTCGGCAAGTCCACCCTGACCTATTGGTCATGGTGAGTCGGCGTCAACTGGACGGCAGTTTGGACTTTGAGGGTTTTTTTCCAAATGCTCATCCGGTACGCCAATGCAGCAAACGAAACATGGTCCCCACTCCTGAATCGTTTCCTCTTCCACGAGGGTTTCCTCCATTCTCAGTTGTCTTTTCAATCTATGTCCACCCTCTGTGGGTTTACGCCTGTGAACTCCTTTCATAAGATAAAGCAAACGCAAAGTACCCTCAGTTCAAACAGATGTCCATCCCCTCTCAAAGTCTGAATGATGGCCCATTTACGTGAAAATTAGCATTAATAGGTAAACTTTTATTTTTACCCATGTATTTTCATTTCTCTATTTCACTATATACTTACATCTGGAGGGATGTAAGTAATACATAGATTAATGATTATTCATTTATAATATTTATTCATTTATTCATTAGTAAATTAGGAACTCTTTAAAACAATAAACAAGAGCCCCTGGGTAGTATACCCAGCTAAGCCAACCACTACCACCCGGAAGGTTGGCTGTGATACCAGTGGTATCGAAAAAGAAAAGCTGGCCCCTCTACTTTTATGAAGCACTTCCAGGCTTTAGCACGTGGGTTCACCCTGAGTTGAAGTTGGTTGAATAGCAATCTTTATTTTTGTTGTTATTATTGGTGGGTTCTTTTTACTGTTGTTATTATGTATTATTTTTGAATACACGTTGTAGGTATAACATTTAAAATCAAGAAAATTACTAATCCTTCAGCATTTATGAGTGAAATAAGGTGCCTACAGTATTAATCTCTTTTTTTCCTTTTTGAATGCTAATTACTAAAAGTCCCACAATAAACTAGGCTCTCACCTACCAAAGGCATCTACTGAGAGATAATCATAAAAATGTGTGAGAAAAAAGGCAAATAAACAAGTTCATCAAAATAATCAATACAAAAGTATCAAAAAGAGTTGTTCCCCTTCCATTTTATCTAAGACAGACGAATGATAATGTGATCAGATAGAAGAAACACTATGTGCTTTGAAACAATATTTTTCTGCAAAGCTGAGTTTGGCAAATGCTTACTTATGGTCTCTGAAGAAAACTTATCTTCATCTTCGTTTCTGTACCATTTCCTGACCTTTCTTAATCAGAACAGCTCATTTCTGACATTGATTCTCCTTTGCAAACGCAAATCAAAATTAGTTTGAGAATCATTAACTGAGTTTACTTGAGCCAGACCTTGTTATTACTGCTATTATTATTAAGGCAATCACATGGATTGCAACTAGTAATGGTGAATAGTGTTTTTCACTTTAAAAGAGGCCTGTCCCACGGATGGGCTAAATGCCAAGTCTGAAGACAAATTAGTCATGAGTGTTTCAGAAGACGAAAGCTTAAGATAAAGAATGTGAGTGTTTGGTGCAGGAGGTGAGAGTGGCATTATATGGACTTAGCCCAAACATGTGACAGCCAGGTAGGGGCAGCTGGGGAGAGAAGGCCGAGGTTTCAGTGGAGACAGACCTTGTGAGGACTCAAGCGAGAATGTGCCTGCTCTTTCTGTACTGCTTTTTATGGAGCTTCCACACCTCTACTGGCCAGTTCCCTCGAGCCTGCATTTCCTCCAAGAACCTGATGGAGAAGGAATGCTGCCCAGCGTGGAGCGGGGATGGGAGTCCCTGTGGCCAACTCTCAGGCAGGGGTTCCTGTCAGGACGTCATTATTTCCAGTGCACCCCATGGACCCCAGTTCCCCTTCGTTGGGGTGGATGATCGGGAGTCTTGGCCCTCTGTTTTTTATAATAGGACCTGCCACTGCTCTGGCAATTTCATGGGATTCGACTGTGGAAATTGCAGGTTTGGTTTAGGGGGGCCAAGCTGTACAGAGAGGCGAATGCTGGTGAGAAGAAACATTTTTGATTTGAGTATCCCAGAGAAGGACAAATTCCTTGCCTACCTCACATTAGGAAAGCACACTGTCAGTGCAGACTATGTTATCCCCACCGGAAGCTATGGCCAAATGAACAATGGATCGACCCCCATGTTCAGGGACATCAACATTTATGATCTCTTTGTCTGGATCCATTACTATGTGTCTAGAGACACCCTGCTCGGTGGAACTGAAGTCTGGAGGGACATTGACTTTGCTCATGAAGCGCCAGGCTTCCTGCCTTGGCATAGACTCTTCTTGCTGCTGTGGGAAAAAGAAATCCAGAGGCTGACAGGCGATGAGCATTTCACTGTCCCGTACTGGGACTGGCGAGATGCGGAAGGCTGTGATGTTTGCACAGATGAGTACATGGGAGGACGCCATCCAACAAACCCGAAGCTACTCAGCCCAGGATCCTTCTTCTCTTCTTGGCAGGTAAGATGCAGCTGGAGTCAAAGGCTGATTGAACCGTAGATGTACAGTGTCAGAAATGAGAGAGACCTTAGCGATGACCTCCTTGGGAATTTCCTAAAGCTCCTTTCTTCATCCATCCCACCACTTATCTCTGACCTAGGGGAGTTTTCAGTGATGAATTCTTCAGGTAGCTTCTATTTTACCTCTGATAGATCACTTTACAATTCTATTTGTATAGATATTGATGTGATAATTTGTCTAGTAGCTCCCTCTTTTACTAAGTCTCTATGGTCCAATTAGGAAAGAGTGTTTGGCATCTCACTCTACCTCCCAGCACCTACGATGATGGCTGACAAATGCACATAAGTATTTGTTGAATGGATAATGGAATAAATTATTGAATGTGTGAACAGTTAAATGATTGAGCCAATGAATGGAATGGGCCAGAGCTTCTGTATTTTTTTAAAAAAGAAAAATCATATGCTATCCAAATTGAAAATACCAACTGCCAGTCCTATTCCTTACCATTGTTGAGGAACCGCAGTGGAGAGTCTAGGGAAGTCATTGCTGAATATATCTCAATAATGATTAAAGAGGTTTAGGAAACATATGATTAATTTCTGTCTGATATAGGAGCATCCTTGGGAGGCGCCGATATGTAAATAATGAATCAATTAATATTCAGTGAGCATTTACCAATTTCTGTTTAATTGATTCTGATTCATGGTGACTGTGTACAACAGAGTAGAACTGTCCGAAAGAGTTTGTAAGTCTCTACTCATGACTGAAGCAGACTGTCACATTTTACCCCATTAGAGTAAATTCAAACCACTGGCCTTTTGGTGAGCAACTGTGTTTATCCACCAGGGCCATTAATGAATATATGTAAATTCCTGTTATAAGTTCTTTTCTTTGTTATCAAGTTTTATACTCTTGCCTTTCTCCAGTGTAAAGATAGAAAATTAAGGTATAAAGAAATTAGGTAACTTGCACATGGTCATACACCTAGTAAGTAGAAGAGATAAGTTTGGATCTCAGATACCCAGGCTGTCTATACAGACTGCTGTGACATGGTTGGCCAAGGGATTCAGCTTCTACTTGCTCACGTTTTCACCCACTGAGTTTGTTTGTCTTTTTTTTTTTTGGTCTCATTTTTTTCAATTAGACTACAGAAAATATTAACTTTGATATAAAATACCTATACACTTTGGAGGAACTACTATATTGAAATAGAATCCCAAATTCTCTTATTATGATTCACCACTCTGGATTATGGACAAAAAGTAACCAAAGGAAAATAGCAATTACCATTTTATATAATATATAGGTGGGAGAAATGTTTCCCCATGCCCCCTGTGTTCCACGGATTTCTAATGCAGCACTTGACTAGCAATGATCTAAATACAAAATTTTAACATGGAGAAGAGAACCTTGCACTGTAATCATTATTTCACACTGCAGGGTTGAAATGTGGACACCCTACCCCAACCCCTGAAAAACTCATTGAAGTTTGCACATCTTTCAAGCGTAGCCTATCAGAAAGTGGCCATTGTTTCATTTCTGATGTCACTACTGCCAGCTATTAATAGGTGAAGGCAGCCTATTTGGGGAAGAAAGGGCTGAAAATGTGCTGGGAGAAGAAAAAATCTTACTCCATAAAACCTCAGACCTTCTGCTTTAATCTATAAAGGCCAAAACTCTCCTGTAGCTCTCCCATCCTCTCTTGCTGCTTAAAATACTGCCAAGCTTTGATGTGGGATTTTTCAGTCACCTACACTACTTTGCTTACCTATATAGCTTCACATGACCTAGAAAGGCTGGAGGATTATCTAAATTGCCAAAACAGTTAGAAAATCCACACTGAAGCTTCAAAGGTAGATGCTAATTTGTTTTTAATGACATGCAGTGCGTGCTACCTGGTGATACTAAGATTTATATGTATACCCATTTTCTAATCATTTATTGCTTATTGAATGACTTTTTTTCTTTATGTGAACAATACCACTATTTTTTAAAGTAAATGTTCAGTGTTTAGTGGGTAAATACTGTACTGAAATCATTAAAATATTAACTTTAACGTGTTTCTATAGTTAAACTCTTGTGTAATATAGGGTTTTTAAATAAAATTAGAATGTGGAATAAAAAACAATGACTAAAAGCCAAGAAAACCTGAATTTAAACAGGGAAAGGGAAATGAACAAGTAATCATTGTTTATCTGTGGTGTTAAGGGCTGATGGTTAACAGAGTTGGCTGCCAAACCCAACTATGATTGGTTGTTTCTATTTCTTCACAAAGTCTCTCTTGTTACCCAGCTGCTGAGACTCAGGGTTTACCTACATGTCACTCAGAGGTTTTCAATATTAAAATTTCATCCGAAACTTAGGGGGAGGAAACGGATGAACAACAACCAAACTCACTGCCCTCAAGTCGATGTAGACTCACAACGAACTGCCTCTGTGGCTCTCTGAGACTGTAACCCTTCACTGGAGTAGAAAACCCCATCTTTCTCTCTAGGAGAGGCTAGTGGTTTTGAACTGCTGACCGGGAAAACAAAAAAATGTAACTTGGGGTGGACTGTCTTGGCCTGATTTCTTACAAATTTGAATCCTGGCAGTCTGCTATGAAATGAAGACATCTGGATTTTTAAAATCTCCTTCTGTGTTTGCAATCTGTCGTCAGAACTGGGAATACCTGATTTAATTGTTAGAGGAATTTTTTTTTTTTGTATTTCTGCACTTCCAGTTTACACACACAAGTTCCACATAGATACATTATCTGTTTGAATGCATTCACCTGAACTGAACAATTCAAGTATTAGACTAGGCCAGGTGAGACGAGATCAAAGAGCTCCTAAACGAAGAGAGTCTATTACTAATTTCCAAAGTAGCCATACCACAGCCCCTTGGCCAGAAAGAAAGCCCGTGTGCATTCCATAAAATGGAACCCTTAGAGATTGGTGATATTTACTAACTTTGAGCTGATATATTTTTAATATTATCTAATATAATGCTCTTCTTTTATAAAATAAAAATGAAGAAACCAGATGGGTAAGAAAAAATGTCCAAGGTTAATTTGTAGCAGAGCTGGTCTAAAACTGATTATCTCTGATCACAATGTGTGGCAGTGAAACAATCTCCCATCAACTTGAGCAAAGTGGTGGAGTCTATCTAGCCTGTCAATCAGGTCATAGCCAAAAAAGCCTGTGTGAGCATGGCCTTCTCCTGAGGATTCTGGGAACTCCTATCTTTCTCCCTGGAGGGGTACACACTCTGTGCTACAAATTCCTGTTGACAAGCCAGAGCCCTGGAGCTGGAGGCGCCACATGGAGACCCAGGCCAACACTCAGATGCTTCCACCACCACTGCTTCCATATGACCTTCCACCCACTGGCCTGTGCTCTTCCTGCATTCGGTATCATTGCATGGCGGCATGAGTCTGAAGAGGAACTTATGGACTAATATCGGACATAAGGGCTAATATAGGACTTATGGACTTGATCTGGACTGGGCCAGGATGTTTTCTTTATGTACAATTGCGCTTTGATAGACAGTTCTCTCTTACCCACATATGAGTGTCTCTGGATTTGTTTCTCTAGGCAACCCAGACTAATGCACATGTTACAGTCAACCATGTTGCTCACCGTTCATGAAGGCTCAGAGACATCAAATAAAACACCCATTGTCCTATGAACATAAAAATTGACACCCAGTCACTTGGATGTCTTTAAAGTTCAGAAGTACTTGATATATAAGCAGATATATGATTGTGATCCTTTTTGTTCATATTTTCATGAAAACATTATATCCAATTCTTAACTAGTCATAGCCCATACTCAGGTTGATTAACACTCTTCTCTTTGTGGCTTCATTATACTAAGTTCATATTTATAGCACAACATCAATAATTCTTCAGTACACTTAATGGCTTTCAAGCCTATCTTTGTCTACCATTCTACTGGCTGCCCCAAAGGGAAGACGGCATCTAATTATTTTCTGTACCAAGGAAGCTAGGGCTATGATATATCCATGAAATAAGTTTGACAAATATATGTTTAATTAAAAAATAAAACTTCAAATTAGAGAAATGCTAGCTCTAATAATAACACAAATTAAAAAATAAGTCTGCTTGGCTGGCTCTCTGAGACCTTCCTTATGGCATGGGACCCCAATGCCAAGAGATAATGTGTACAAGCAGCTTCTGGATGAAAATGTGAGACACAACATTTTGTATAGTACTATGCAGGCATGTATGAACAAGTATATGTGTGTGCATACAAAGAGAATGTACTCATATAGTAGAAAAGACTGAGAAATTACTATAACTGAGAGTCCTTTTCCTCATTTATTTAAATTCGATTATTTGATTGGTGGATCCATTACATAATTGGAGGCTCAAACTTCCATTTTATGATAGAAGTTGAGCACAAACCTAGAACCCTTACCAGCAGTTTCATAATAAATAATAGTCATCATGAAACACTACATACCTGGTAGAGTTTTCTATTAAATAAAATAATATGCAAGTATAAAAAGTCAGATGATTAATGTTTAGATATTTTAGAAATCTTAGGTTTTAAATGTGTATATATTTTTGCATGCTTATTGTTTTATTTAGTGCCAGAGTTTTTGAAGTGGAGCTGTATCTTTTATAAATTTAAGTAGCTTGATTTTATTTGGAAGGGGTTAATCAAATTTAAGTGTCAGCACAATTACATCTAAAGTTATACAATGAGTACATAAGCTAGCCATATGTATTTAATTATCACATCATTGTAATAAGGGATTAGAATAAAGAGAGCAAAATATTCCTAAATGGTAAATGTGAAGAACCGGGCCGGGAAATGCACTCATCGGGTGAACGCACATCATATGGAAGCAAACAGCAGGAAGAAAATAAAGCGTCACCTTTCAGCAGCGATCATGGGTTTTGGGTAACCATAGCAACAGCTCAGTGAATAACAGCTATTTTATGAAAGAAAAGAGAAAAGAGATTCTGTGGAATGTCAAATGGCTTACTTTTT